TGTGACACCGGCTTTGGCAGCGAGGTGGAGGTTGGTGCAGGGTATGTGGCGCCAGCTCGCGATAACAGCAAAACGGAGTTCCTTGAGGAAGAGCGGCCGTGTGTTGTGAATCTGTGTGCGAATTGACTGGGGCAATGGAGAGAAAGAAAAAACAACAGAGATGGGTCACTCGGGAGTTGTCGCAAATTCGACCGTAATTTAGTGGCGCGAATGGTCATTAAAATGCAGCGTGAGTCACGCCCCCAATTACGTTCACGGCGCGACGGCGCAATCTTCAGAGGGGCAATTTCTACCACCAGGCAAGTTGTCAGAATCGACCCTACCCTCCTGGACTCCGCCATACACATACGTGACCTTGACCAGAGCTACTGTGATTGGTTCGCGGGGCTTTGTTTTAACGCGGACCCATCGAAAGCCGCCGACTACGAACACACATGCAGGGGGCGTCATTAAATCGAACGCCCGGATAAGGCCATCAAGGCGTTAGTCATGCCCCCCAGTGGGAATGACTTTACGCGCGCACACACACGCTAGTTAAGTGAGGGAGGTGTAATCGAGGAAAAAAGTGCGATACCGAAGCAACCAATCGCACAACTCGACGCCACGTTAATTAGCGAATAACGATGGCCGAGCTTGGAGCAGGCAAGCAACCGAGATTGGGAGTGGTGGTCGAGTTAACCCACAGATCTACTCTAGATCGAATCGAGGCTAGTTAATCTTTGTCAAATCAACGCAGCCAATTCGCGAATTTCACATTTTTTTAAAATATTAGCCCATGATAAGTAGATTTGGCGCCTACAACGGTAATGTGGTGGTCAATTACAAGGTGTTCGGCTTAGCAAACTCAGATCGATTCGAGAGATTGTGGTTTGGGATTTCACTGGTCGCGACGCAAATATACCAGGTACCCAACGATGAAGTGTTTCCAGTTCACATCGCTCAAATTTAACCCTTTTTTTGCAGAAAAATGGCCATGTTTTGGGAGTAGAACGGAGTAGAGGCTTGAAAGGAGTAGAGGACTGGTGCCGTCAAGGTGACCGCCACACAGACGGGACCATTCCAGGTGTCTGACATTTAGGTCCGTTTAACGAACCAATCACATTGAGGATTCTAAATCCAACCAATAGGAAGACAGATAAAGGGGTTGTCTGGTCGACAACTCACACTGGGCACGGTCTGTTCCAGATCAGCGGAGAATTCGTTCAGCGCACGCACCAGCTGGAGGTAGTAGGTGCGTATCGAGTCCAACTCCACGTAGACCTGCTTAATCACCTCGAGACGCAACGAAAGCATCCCGACAGAGGTCTGTAGCGCATCGATTTGACTTTTCAAGTTATCCTACAAAAAAGGAGAGCAACGTGGCCACGATTGACGGTGTGTTTGGTGAAACATGGATTGCACAAAGCGTCACACCACGTACGATGTTGAGGCTTCGGAGTTGGGCCATGTAGGCGTCGAAATCGACGATCTTCGTCAACCGATCGTTGGTCTGGAACAGAAGCAATCCACGCATAGGCAAGGCCAAGGTTAGGCGCAGAGAACGCCTCTAAGACTCTCATGGAAATCAATATATCAACGCCACACCCAATGCTGCTGACAAGGTGAGGGCACTTAACTCGAGAATTACCGTTGGTGGATAGGCACACTTAGTAATTCCACGAAAGCAATTAACTGTTGCTGCTAATGCCTTGATTCACACCAGTTCGGCTACTCTCTCGCGCCTAATTCATCTGGATGCGTTCCACAAACCTCATTGGCTGAGAGCCTTACCTTGGCAATGGCACGAGACAGGTTGAAGTTCCGTAGGTCGCTCACGGTGTCAAGGACGTTGAGGGTGTCGGTAGCGGCCTTGCGCAGGGGGCTGATAAGATCGATGCCGTTGAAGGTGGTTAGGATGTTCTCCAGGAAGGTGTTGATCGACTAGACAGAGGCAAAAGAGGGTTGTGTTAGGGTCGGCGGAGGGCCGCAAACCAAATCCACGGTGGACTAACGCACAGTGTCCGAGACCATCATCCCGACGACTTCATCGCCGATCGCATCAACCAGACTGGCATTGGCGCACTTCGTGAGCAAGACACTGAAGGGCCGAGACTTGGTGATGGCGTGGAAGTCGGCGGAGCGGACGGTGTTGGAGGAGTTACCGAATTGGCGCGCGGCTTCGACGGAGATCGTGTCCAGGACGTCATCAAGAACAGCTGGTCCTTCAGGATAGCGTCCGGTGGCGTAACGACAGACCTCGGTCTGAGCTAGGCCGCCAGTCAAGAAGACGACGGTGCACACCAACATCAGGATGGTGGAGAGGAGGAAGGTAAAGACAACTCCGCTGAAGTGGAAAAACGACACCACTAAATCACATCGGATCACGGTTAACAGTGAAGCCGTGGAACACGGAATACTATGGACAACACGCCAAATCGATGAGAGCTAAGCTCGAAGTTGGAAGGATGGAAGAAGTGTATGAGAGAAAAAGGCACGCACGACATCAGGAGATTGGCGCCGACGCCGCGATTGCAAACGCTGGCCTCCTCGTATGGACGGTTTCCACAGGCGCCGAAGCATAATCCCAGGTAGACGAGCAAAATCACCAGCACGGGCAGACAGAGAAAGGCGATTCCGCTGTACAGGAAGAAGTCACTGCCTTTTCTACAACAAAAAACCAATGGAATTGGGTTTGGCGTGTAACCAGATCAACCAAATATGTGCACACGGGCGTAATTGTCGAAAGCGCCGCCTTCTGGCTAACCAATCAGACTTCCAGTAGGCTCAGGGTTTAATCTTTAAAAGGGAAAGTAATTTCCTGTGGTCCCAACGAACAGTCTTGCCACGCTAACATTTGCGCCTGCTTCCGACAACAACATTCCACGTCTTAGGCAAGGCTGTAAGGAATGTGTTCGAAAAAACGGACGAAAGTTTTGTGGAATGTATCGCCTCCCGCACATCAAAAGGGACCATTTTGAGTTTATCGATCGGGTTGTGGAAACGGCACCCACAAGACACCAATGAACGCGTAGCACTACGCATGAGAACAGCACTTCCCTGCATCGTGTTTCACATATAAAGAGCTTTATGCCAATTTCTTGCATTATCACACACTAAGCTCCGCATGTGATTTCGCACACACACACACACACAGACCAGCGACCATGGGAACACTAGTGTGCCGTGGATGCCATAGTGAAATTAACTCTTAACCAAAGCGAAATCGTGGTGTATGGGAAAGACGATACCAGGAGGATGCTTGGGTTTGTGGCGATTTAACAGTGAACCTGGCCTGACGGCGACAATGACTCATCCCCCTTTTTCATTGGTTACTGTTATCAGACGCCTGTCATCAGTTCACTCATCCACGTGACACTGTCACCCCTTGTTCCACTCTTCTCAGATTGATACGGGCCGTTAACTAGAGGGTTGTACGGTAGTGCTGAATGTCTAGCTACTACGGATTTGAGGGGATTACGTCTGATGACGCGGACAAAGTGGCAATAACATCGGGTAAGACAGACGACCACCACTGAACGCGACCGCACGACATGGTGAGGTGTGCAGGCACGACAACCTACACACTTACGAGATGTACTGGGAGTCAGCGGAGAGGTACGTAGTGATGAAGTCGTTGAGGCCGACTAGGTAGGACTTGGCGGTGTCGGCGGCCTGTTCAATTGACCTGACCAGATCTTCGCGCGTCTTCGGCGAGTTGGAGAGGTCACTCCAGGCGTCTACAAACAAAGTGGGCAAAGGTGAATCTTTTTGACGCCGGGAAAAGGTCATGCTTTGTTGCACGATTTCTCACACTAGTGCAGTTACTGGACGGGATTTGCATAAGGTGATTTCAAACTTTTCTTAAGAAAGATTGCGTTTGCCATTTTGCCTGGTAACCTGCACGCAATTTAGCTTAAAAAAATGAAGATGAAGATTTTAAAGCCTAAAATTGAGCACGCGCAAGCCGGAAACTGGTAGAGTGGTGAAGGAAATTGAGACGGTCAGCAACAGCAAAAAGAACTTCACCAAGCAAAGGTAAAACACACTTACCATCTAGAATCGGTTGGATGGCCTTTTTGACGTCGTCCTTCATCCCTACGAGGGTCTTGTTGAACTGAAATGAGCGTAAAAAAACTATTCGTCCGGCATACTACGACAACTACCAGACTGAGAGCGCGAGAACACACACACGGAACCGGACTACTGAACGCAATAAACATTAAAGTGCAATGGCGAACGCGCACACGACTAACACGCACAGAAACGTGTATCCACGTGCCAACGCATTTTCACATGAAGAAAATCAGTGGGAACACGGTGTTAGATCACCGTTAGACCAAACCACAGCGTGTTTTGCATGTGTGTAAACATAAATTACGGTAAGTAGCTACAGTGATGACCCAAACTGAAGCCACTGTTTACACACTGCAGCATGATTGGCCGGCATTGGTGACCAATTAACCAATCAGGAGCGTGGGTGACGTATTCCTCAATGAACGGCAAAGACGATTGGCCTACTCACCGCGTTCAAATTTGTGACTTCTTGTTGGGAGGATTCCAGAATGTCGAGAAGACGCCCGACTTGCGTTGACTGAAACTAAAACCAGACCACAGACCAAGCGGTTAACAGCGACAGGCCAATAGACGTCTTCTAATGGTGCAGCGATTATGGACACATACTTCATCTAGCGTGTACGCGACCTCGAGGTCGTTGTCAGTGGTGAAGCGCAGTTCTCGACAGACGGTAAGTTGATCCAAGGTGCACTCTGAATTGAGGATGTCGGAGATGGTCGAACGAATCATCGGCAAGTCCACCGACGTCCGTTCAAGGGAGTCGAAGAAGTTCCTTAGTTCGGCTGCGGCCAGAGAGTCGACGCCGAATTTGTACGCCACTAAAAATGGATGAACGAATAAAAAACCAGCGCACGTCAGAGGGGGGCAAGGTGCCTCGGTTCTGATTGGCTGAGGCAGGAGGCAAGGTGCTCACCTTGTTGCAATGCGTCCTTTGCTCGAAGCACTTCAGCGGCACTCGAGTTGTTCACAAAATCGTTTTGGAAGTCGGTAAGGCCAGCTGAAGAGGAGTTTTGAACATTGTACAAGCAGAAACACACCACCTGACATCGATTACTAGTAACCAAGATCAAATTTTGGCTCAAAAGTGCCGTGATTTGCGAAATTAGGCGGACCGGTACAACGATTTAAATGATAAGTAGATGGAATTAATTACGTGGGCGTGCATATTCACGGTTAAATTAAACAAGGCGTGTTACAAGCGCCAGAGCAACACCACACAACGTAGGGCATTTTTTCAGCCTACAAGAATTGAAGGTTTTTGGGCGCTGGCAAGATTTGGCCAAGATGTGGAACATTAAAGGGAGAATTCGAAAAGTGGCATGCTTGGTAAAAACACATACCATCAAAAACTGCATCAAAGTTTTTCTTCTGAACTTCCAAATTTACGGACGAAGAATTCTTTGCAGCCTGCAAAAAACGAATACACTAATTAAGAACGTAAGCACCAGGTGAAACCAGATAAATACCGTTAAAAAACGAATTTTATGAGCAAAAACAGCTTAAATAAATAATGAAACGTAATAGAAGAACTTGCATTGACAATTTCTGTAATAGCGATCTGAAACTGATCAGAACTTTGTATTATCTGAGGCGCCATTCCGACGGATATGTCCTTGCTTAGAATTGCGTCATAATGAAGTTGGTAATTAATGAAGGCGAGCACTATCGAAGCTCTAAATAATGAGAAAAATCCACAAATTTTCAATGTTTCTTGTTAAAATGTCCATAATCCGACAAACAAGTACGGAAATTCAACTTGTTCAATTCAATTCTTTCCATCACATGCAAAGATCAATAATCAAGAGCAAAATTAAGCATTAACTGGGGTAAAAAGCTCTACCAAACTAAAAACTTCAAAACCATCTTTGATCTAGGAAAATTTAACGTCTTTAAGGCGTAATAACTACCAAAATATACTGTAATACGTAAAAAGCAGGATAGAAACAACTACTGCATAAATCTAGCATTCAATAAAATTTATTTATATCACCATTAAAGAATTTGTCTTTTAACTTGACACAAGTTACTGTCCACATGATGGGCAACAGGTGAGAAAGCCACATTTTGCTCAATTGCTTCATTATTTAAAAAAACGGAGAACTGATTAACTTACAGCTGGACTGTCGTGATCATGGCTAAGGTAATTGTGTAGCACACACGACGGTAGGGATCTCCTTTTCTGTCCATTTGAGTAACTCGACCACCACAACGTCCACAACAACGAAGGCAGCAAAAGAATATTCCGATCATTGGCATCAAAATGGCGAATAGTATCCCAAATATTAAGCAGGCCATGTAACCAGGAAAATGCTTAAATATCTAATAAAAGACATACAATAACAATTAAAACACGGTAAAAGAAATTAACAAAATGGAAGCGAGGGATGCCAATTTAACTTACCGGAGTTATCATGAGAGCAGGAAGCTCATAATTCTTGGGATCTGCCGAAAAATTAAAGTAAAACAGCACACTTACCCAAATAGAGCACAAGAATCTCTTGTGTAGCGTCACGAGACGCATTTCTTCGGATTAAATCTAAGAACAATTGGGCGCCTTCGTATGAAAACTGGACACTTTTTCGTAGTTGCAGGCTAGTGGAAGAGTTAATAGCTCGACACTGATTTAGGGTCAAAAGAACTGTGATAACTAGCCCCAAATACCTCACAATTCGAGAGGTGGGCATTTTTTCTGGCTACAATTGGCACTACACAAAACGCCAAAGAGGCTCAAACAAACGAGACCAATTATTTTCTAACGTTTGAATAGTGCGCACCAATTACAATGAAGGCGAAAGGACACCACAAGAACGAGGCTTTTAAAGAAGCGAAATTATTGTTAAAACTCAGAAAAACCTGTCTCGTTTAGATGTAAACAATAAGAAAAAAAAATTTTCACTTTTTAAGAAGCAATGTTGTTTTTTTCACACAAACTGCAAATGAATGAACCACCCCTTAACCTATTTTTAAAGGTCAGGTAGAGGCAATTTAGAATATAATAAATTAAGCTATAATAAACTGTACCATTTGGGTTCATTATAATGTCCGATTACCTGTAAGCAACCATGTGATCCTGTTATAGCACATTGTTTTTAATGATGCCTGAAATATTTCTGGCCTGAATGTGCGAGATAAGTGGCTGGTAGCAAAAGCAAGCAATCGGATTGCAGACAAGCAACGTTCTGATTTCATGATATTGACGGATTACAAAATTGAATTTGAGGCAAATAGTTCTTTCCGTGTTTCTGTCAAATAACTTAAAAGTCGGTTTAATATGCCTTCTTTTTTATTTTATGACATTGACGGATTAAAAACTTTAAACTTGAAGCAATTAGTTCTTTACATTCTTCAGTCAAAAAGATTTTTGAATAACTTAAATGTCGTTTTTTTCTGCCTTCTTTTTGCACAAATATTTAGCAAATGTAGGATGGATTAAAATGACTAACGTTTGCAAAATTCTTTAGTCTGTTTTACTTTAATTTTGTGTCACAACAATATTCTTTTAGGCTTTATAATGATATGCCCTAAATAATTGCCAAATAAAAATCTCTACATCGACGCTGCTACTGTATTTCACTTAAAAAAGCGTTTATTTGAATCAATGCTTTATATTTGTAATCACATTTCTTTTAATTATAAGTAAGTCAAGATTTTGGGAGTAATGCTTAGAAAGTAGTCTTATGAAAAACCAAAAGGTTGTTTAATAATATTTTTATCCGAACGTTGAAAAACACAAGAAACTATGTTGAGTGAATGCACTATATTAAAAGCGATTGACGCATGCTCTTTGAATTGAGCATTTTGCTAATCTTCTGTTTTCTACAAATCGTGTATACATATAATTTGATCCGGTGTACCACTTTCTAAAGAATAAGTTTTTCGATAGCTCACGGCTTTTTACGTCGTGTAAATCCGAAACTGCCTAGCCAACTTATGGCGCATTTTTTTTCATCTAACATTTGGTTCTACGTTTGCATAACAGCCCATTTGCAGTTGTAAAATTTAGCTTCATTTTAACCAAGATCTAGAATTCAGATCTGCTTATTAGACATCTATCCATTAAATTCGACTCGTTAGTGCTCAGAAACATGAGTAGACACTTGTAAATTAAAAACTCTTGTGAAAGAAGCAATTGGTCTTAAGATTACGATTGAAATTTTTGTGAACTTATTTTCTAAAGCCTAACTCGATTTCTCTAACATGAATCACTCTAAAAGTGAAGACTAATGCTGCGATCATGGCTAAATTTGTCAACGATATGTAATGAAAAGTTACCGGAATGTAATGCCATTATTTTTGAAGAACTTAATTTCATACACGATGTGCTGCCGTTGTGACGCCTACGTGACTGCTTGATCAAAAAGGATACACTTTTTTATTATTCCCCAAAGTAATAAATCACAACTTGTAAAAACCTATGGATTTCTAAATATGCTTTTCATTGTCCTTGTTTTAGCACCAAGTAAATTTAGAAAACTGAAATGGCAGCAAACAGGGTGATTCTAGATGACATTCTTTCTCATTGGATGGTGAGGTCAAGCGTTCGCGATGCTCCACTGGAACTTTTTTGTTTATTTCAAATGTTCAGGCGGCACTTATGATTCAGCGAATAAAATGGGAAACATGCTTCTTAAGAGGTGTGCTGAATTTGGCACGAATCTTAATGTATGAAATTCTTATCCGCAAAATGCAAACATACGCTGTCAAGTCATTCCAGCTACCCTGAAACCGTTTTGTTTTAATCGCCACAGCTGCTGCCGCGGTGTCCCAGTAAACTGAGACGGCCATAAATGTTTGCGGTGAATCATGTTTCTTGACGAACCTCTGTTTTTCTTCCAGGATCCAGCTTCAATTGCATCTCAAATTTCAATTTACAATGATATTTTTTTAAGTTGCTTTAATCACAAACCATTGCCCGAGGCTACTTAATTTGAATGTAATCTAATGACACAATGTACCTTTTTATTTGTTCCAAGTATCATTTTTACCTTTTACGCGAAAAAATTGGTCCTTCTTCTAATTGGTTGGAGCGAAACGTATTAGGATAGCAATTGGTACAGAGGCCAAATAGCGTTTCTCGGGCGGGCTTAAGCAAAACTAAAAAAATCGATAAATTAAATTTTCCATCCCCAAATAACCTAGGCAGAGTAGCAAGAATACGAATCGAAGATTTCAAACTAAACGCATTTTTGAGCTATTTGAGGCAGAGCACACGCACACAAACACACACACACACAGGACACAAATTTAGTCCCTATAAAACAGCAGTATCGGGGTAATTGTTGCAATTTCGAGAACAACAAGACCGTCTAGACAAAACACGCGCAGCATCCGCCGGATCGTTTCTCCTTTTGGCGCCATATCAGATACTTGTGAGCCCCACCGTCGGGGCTGAAGGCGTAGACCTGCTTATTGATGGCATCAACCTCTGGTATATTCTTCTCGTCAAGGATCAGACGCGAGCGCCAACGCACGCCGTGGTTCTTGTCCATGTACATCAGCAATTGCTGAATCGATCCACTTGGATCCTCCAATTTCCAATCGCTGTCAAGCTTCTTGTTTACGTCGGCTTTCTGTTTGGCTGTTAAAGTACACTTATACTCCACTGTCTCTTTCACAGCTATTGGGCCGGGTGAACTGGAAAGTTAATAAACAGACAAAGGCAATTTATTCAGTATTTAGAAATCATGACCTCCAAAAAGTACATCGCATGACAAAGTTCTTATTCTGGCTATACTATACCAGCCTGACCAATCACCTGCCGCCGGGTCAGACGTCAGTAAGAACCTGCAATCTGATTGGTGGGTGGTGGGCCTCAAAGGGCAAAGAAGCGAATTAATCGATAAATGAGGTTTCAAAGGTCTAAAGGGAAAAATTACTCACGCTGGCGTTTTCTTATTAAGACCTAGCACCTCGCAAAAGTGGTCGAATGTGATGGTTCCAGTATGCTCGGAATCGAACAAGGCGATCCATCTCTGAAAGTAGACAAACAAACAGAGGTCGCTACAATATCTCGTAAAAAATTTAAGACATTATTTTTTTAAAACAACAAGAAGTTGTTAAATACTTCTGCAAACGAAGGCGGGAGACCAGTGTGTTCGGCGAATTTGTTTAAATCGGCGTGAGTGATAAGCCCGCGTCTGTGCACATCGATTTCTTTGAATGCCGAGATGAAACTCTGCTGGAGACTCTCAGTCTGCAACATCGTTTGCCAACTGAATGACGCCAAAACTCGCCCGCCACCTCCTATTCGACCGCACTCGCAAAATGTGGGCACTCTTGCGCAATATGGCGGCGGTCTGCCATCATCTACTGCTCAGTGCAGCCACCAGTATTGTGAGCCAAGATCTCTGCACTTTTAGCGCAACAAACGCACCATTAAGCGCGTATTTTCCACTTTCACAAAAAAAAACAATATCAAAAAATCTGTTTTGCCTACTTTTAATCGCCAAGAAAATGAAAACCATTGCCAATTTTAAAGGAAGCGCACAAAACAGAGTCGCGCGAATCGCGTATGCAGATAATTTAACTGGTTGGCAAATGTGAACAACAAGCACAGAAGTTAACCGCCAAATTTTGGCACATTCTGGAAATCAATCAAGTGATGACGCAGCACGTAGTCAATTCAAGTCATGCCAACACCCACAAACAGTCACACTTGTAGAGGTTGTACGCTGTACACGAATTAGCCGCCATGTCAATTTATTTGTCCATCTGCAGATCTAGCTAATCCACCAATCATACGTCTTGTGAGCCCGATTCAACATTAAGCTACCCAGACAAACTGAACCACATGCCCTGTGGACGATTCTTGTGTGTTTTAATGAGGTGCAAACAGTGATACGCCTGCAGTGGCGCCAGCATTCGAATTACGGCGTACTTCAAGGCCACGTTACGCCGTCATCCCATTGTGTACGTACACGAAACACAAATCTCCAATCAGAGCAGTAGAGTTGCCTCCCAGACGTTGCTTTACGGCGAAAAGATCGTATATAACGGTACTAGGGGTTAAAAGACAATGCATGGTGTATAAATGTGACCTCAAACATTTCAACAGTCTTACGTCGACAAATTTTTGACCTTTATCTTCCCTCCGCGCGTACTCCTTCAAGTCCTCGTGAGTTACCAGTCCCTTGCCACTAGAATCGATCTCCTTGTAGACCGCCAGCAGTGCCTGGGCCATCTTCCGACTAAGTGAAGGTAATTAGGCTCTGAATGCGCCAGTATGCCACGGGACAGCACGAGAACGAACAAGATGCTGGCTATCCAACGCGCTTGCTTGTACTCACGCATCGTAACCTTAGCCACACACTGAATAACGTGACGTGTTCTAGAGCATCCAAAACCACCGTATCCGCGCGGGTGACCGTCGACTTATCCTTTCTCTGTGTCATCCTTGGTGTTTTACTGACTTACCACGTTGGCACGGGAGACCAATTTGAGTCGTCGGTGCCTTCAAAACTGCTTGTAAATGGTGTCAATCTTTTCTTTTCAAATACACGCATTCATCTCTTGGGTAAAATGACAAGTTTTGTGTGTGCACGACACGTCGGCGTGAAAGTTATAATCAGATGAAAGTTAACGCATATTTTTGGTGTGATTGCGTTTTCGCTTGAAAGCACGTCTAAGTAATGTTGTTTGAGTGTAAGACAATTTGAATTTGCAGTAAAATCGGCAATACTTTACAGGTCCACGTGCAGCCAAATTTTTCTCTCACAAGAAGACGTGATTTGCATTGCTAAATTAATTATCGATTTTTGACGCGAAAACACGTTGAAGGACAAATAGCAAATCACCTCATTTTAATTACTTCAGATAATCGTGTGCGTGGATTCCTGGTAATTATAATGTTTTTAATCAAAAATGATTTGTAATTCAAAAAAAGCTGTGAATGATAAGTGCAGTTTTTGTGCAAATGGTGGGAAAAGAGGAGGGAAATTGAGTGCGGGCGGGCACTTTAAATTAAAACGAGGCGCTTGTGACCCACGTTAAAGTGTTTGTTCGTGTAGAATACAGCAAGAAACACAAAAAATACAAAATCGTTATGTTAAAGCGTGATTTTCAAAAGGGCATTTTATAGCACTACCGGCAACCGCATAAAACACTTACAGCGGAGAAGCTATCTGGCAAGCCTTTTTCGCTGGCGTACATCCTCAAGTCCTCATGAGAAATAACCCGATCTTTATCTTTGTCAATGTTTTTGAAGGCGTCTAGAAATCCTTGCACTGCCATGTTTTAGGTGCGAAAAGATAGCGACTGAGAGAGAGATAGAGAGGTCGAGGTAGAGATGTTCACTCTTCAAAAACCAAATGTGACCCTGTTTACAAGCTCTACCTGACACCTTCGGTGAGTGCATGCGCGCACTCTCCTCCCTCACCTATAGGTCCAGCAAACCGAGCACACACACTCACAATACATGGGAGGTGCATCTTTTTTGAGAGAGAATGCGCGCGCAATCACACTGCCGAGGCTGACTGCGTGTCTCGCCTGCTCTCTGTGGTCTTCTAAACTCGACAAAATTCACACGCACACACACACACAAGCTTAAAAATTGTACAAATTTGGCATCAATATCTGTTTCACCAGCGCATTGTTGACAAAACCAGAAGCGCGTAAACGACACGCGTCCGCCATTCTCACGTGCGGTGCATCTCGATTTTCGTATCGATTGGCTGTCCTTGGCGCTTATTGGCTCGTTTCAAGGCTGGGAACTGTGATGCGGTAGTGGTAGGAATGACTAAGTGCGGTTTAACGGCCCCCTTTTAAGTGCTCAAGCGAGCTAATTTAAACTGTACTTGAGTAAAGCTATGCCAATTCAACCATGCATTTGGGCACTTGTTGTTGGATAATCTAATCCGAGGTTAAATCGGAGTTTAATAAACATCCGCAGTGGTTAAGGGTGTAAGGCGCTTACATAAATCGATTAAAGGGGACCGAGTTAGTCAAGAACGAGAACATCAAATTAAAAACGAATGCCAGGGCTTCGGCGTTTTAAAAACAAAGTCTTTTAGTCAATTTCTGAATTTTAATCCTAAAATTTGCGTGAAAGCCACGATACAGCCCTTGTCACCATCTGAGATGTCAAGCCTACATTTGTTAAAAACACTTCATCAAAAATCGCAAATCGATTTTCAACAGTGGCACCAGATTCCAGTCTTTTGGTATCACGGTTAAAAGTCACTCCAAACAACCTTGACACTTACTTCAATGATGTGCGGTTACAACAATTTTCGTTCATTCAAACTAAATCATTTTCACAGACACCGAAAAATAAGCACAGAACAAGCACCCTACCCACTCATCGCGTGGCATCGGTGGGTGTTTTGCTGTCTATTCGTGATCGTATCTTTCGCGGCCCAGCACAGCTCTTTGAGTGCTCGGAATTTGGCAAATAGTGTGGTGTTTGTCTAACCAGAGTGCTTATCTAGGCATTTGTCACATGCCTACCACCATCTAAGTGGTTCTGGCAATCTATCTACGCTGCTGTTGCATAGCTTGCAACCTCAAGTAGCCCACTTGCACACAAGGGTCTAAATTTGCATCAGTTTGGATGTGGAATTAACCTGACAGTGCACAGATATTAAGAAATTCAACAGTGCTATGAAGAAAGTCCCCGGTCAAATGATATCGGTTTTGTTTAAATACACTATTATCAGTCGAATTATTGGCAAAATTAGTTTCATGTGAATATTACTAGCCCTACACATCAATAGCACTGATTGAAAATCAGTCACAGGAAGCAAGTAATTTGATTGGTTTAATGCTCGAGAACCAAGGTCATATTGCAGCCAATGGGCAGAAATCAATGAACGTGGTCAGCCAGAGTTGCTTGAGCGCGTAAGCAAATCGACCAATCACCTTTCGTCTCCCGTCTTCAAAACCCACAACCACTTGAGATGTCATTATTAAAAAAACTGGAAATTATGGCCTCTACAAATCGTCGTTGTTGAGATTTTAATGAGTGAGGAGGTCGAGCATAAAATCTATTCTGGCTCAAGGTCATTCTAATAGCAAAATCGAGGCACCAGGTACAAAATAAAGACTTGTATTTTGCAAGGAATTTTGTTTATTAATTCCCGGGCAAAAATCAAATAAAGCAGATCAGATTTGCTGAAACGTTGCGCATCACATAATGGCGCGTTCCAGTGCTCCATCAAATGTGTAATCGCGATCTTTCTTGGTGAGCAGTGTCTTCGGTCGAAATGAATGAATGACACCTAATTCACGATCGGCTTGAGAGAGTCCAATGCCCTCACCACGAACTCGCACGAAATCGACGCCAAAATCAATAATGAGGTGGGCGGACACGCGGTTGCGCAATTCCGCAGTGTCAGTGACGGGTGGCAGGGAGTAGTAGAGGATTCCGTGGTCTCGTCGGTAGGGAAGGAAGCCTTCTAGGGGCTTGGAGCCGCACCCATGAGGGCGACCCAAGAGGCAGCAGCGCACGATACCGCATTCTGTCAGTATCTTAAACACTTCACGCCAATTGGCGACTAGTGTGGAACGATCACGCACCAGGAGCGGATGAAGAGGGGCATGACCTGCGGGAAAATACTAGCTACTTAAATAGTGCAAGTACGCCGTTGAACTTAGTTCACGATGCTGGGGAGCGACACTTACACGCCACGATGACGTTCTCATTACAGTGCATCGCACTCCTGAGAACGTGGGTAAGCCATGTGAGCTGCGTCCTAGACATGGCCAATCGAACCCTCGGAATCCGTCCTCGTTCGCAAGCAGTCATAAAGTCGCCTGTCGTCATTAATTCCTTTGGCCATCCGACACGCTTTGTCGGTCCGCTGTCGTGTAGCACACACTAAAACAAGACAACCAACTTATATCTTTGAAGTAGATTTCATTGAGAGCGAAGTCTGATTGCTAACCGGCTTTCCTGTGGGATCGCGTATTTTAATTTGCATTATGAAGCCATCTCCGGTCGTCTCTGAGTTTTCGAGTGTTGGCGCTTCGAAGGTGTTCTTGGGTTCAACAGCAAGCAGTTCATAGCCATCCAAAACCACTAGTCGCCATTGTGGACCAATCAGCGTCTTTAAACAGAAATCACAAAAAATCGATACCGATCCTGTGGTTCTGTAAACGCGGATTTGTGGTCGCAAGGCCCAAAATGCAATTTCTTACCGTATAGTACAAATTTCCACAGCATCGAGAGGAATATTCTGTCTTGCCGACAGAAAGTGCAAGATCTGCCATAAACGAAGCAGTATACTGATCACGCACAGCTGTCTCCATGTCACCAATCACGTGCCAAATCTAAAGCCTACGTTGATTGCAATGAAGGACCTTACAGGGTGGTAGGACTTGTTAAAGACTTGCGCCAGTTGGGTAATCATACAATCCACTTCTCCCTTCACTTCAACATCACGCGTGTCCATGACCCCTCCAAGTTGGATCACTCCTTCAACATTCTCGTAGGAGATGCTCAAAAGTGTGTCATTGAGAAGTTGCAAATTTGCATTGGTGTGATGCGGGCAATTGGTGAAACGCAAGTTGCTGAAAGCGCCAACTCGACAGAGGACTCTGTTCAAACTCTTTGCCGGAGCTACGTACTCGTCGTAGTAGTTAAGTTTATGACGTTGAGGGCCAGGGCAGGGAAAGTTTGGAATGAGGTGAGCCATAGGACATTGAGGGAGCACCTCACTGAAGAGGTCTCGGGGAGCTTCAGGCCAGGTCATTGTCAATTTGCTGGGCAGCATTTCCAAAAAAAAGCTAAACCAAAGGATTTAGTATGAAAAACCCTGTTTATTGGGTATACGATGCAGAGTCTACTCTTGTCTACGTGCTATTAAAACACGCACTTATTCTACAAAAAATGTTTTTGTCGAAACAACAGTGAAACACAAGTCAGGGTATCCAGTCTGTGCTTTGTACATCTCCATCATTTGTAAGCAATGAGAGTCGTATGACTTTCATTCTATGAAAAAAGCACTACAATTAACGCATAATTTTAGACTATTGTATCACTGTTAACAAACTTAAATATATTCATAAACGAATACACAAAATGTATCGGGACGTATATCGGTATCGTTAGTAAGGCTAACAGATCGAAGTTCACTACCATTCTATTCAACAAGCACCACGAAACAAAAGTTTATAAATACTTAGTGTTTTAAATAAAGCTTGTACTAAATTATAAAAAAAACATAAACTAGTCTAATTTAACAAGGGCATCATTTGAAATTTAGGTATAGGTTAATTATTAATACGCAAAATTTAAAAAAAACG